TTTTCACGTGTGCCTTGTGCAAACATAATGAATTTTAACTAAAAGTTGATACGGTCTTTTTACAACAGCAACCAATATTTATTACAAATTAGGAATTGTCATATACTCTTTCAAAAAGACAAATCTTTTGATGTTATGATTTGTGTTTTGTTTTAGGTTTTATGTTTATTTTATGTTTTATGATTTAATTATGAAACAATAAAAGTAAAGTATGGAGGTCCAACAAAAGAAAAGTCACCGAAGATCTACCGGGCGCTGTTCATAGGTCGTAACTTTGAGAACTTGCGAAGATGCGAAGTTGCGAAGAAGCGATTGGTAGCACGTTCGCACAAGAGACGCACGCGCCGCGCCGCATCAGAAATCAATCAATCTTAATTAATTAATTAATCAATCAATCAAATCAATCAAATCAACGATCTTTTGTTCGATTCGGGTTGTTGATTTATTTGGCCCCTGCCGCAGTCATTATATTTTGTTGTTTTCATTGTGATTGTTCTCACTTATGCAGAATTACATCGCTCTGTTCCATGTTAGAACAGGGAATGAAGCTAGCGTTTCGTTGATGTGGACCACGTGTATTATTGAAGTTCAAGTGTACTCATGTTATATGCATGCTCATCCTCCCTCGTTAATGCGATCCATACCATATTAAACTCAACTATATTCATGCCTGACCAGAAGATTGACCCTTATGCAGCGTATTACTCAAAAAATGCTGTGAAAATTCCAATATATTAATATTTAAAGAATTTCCAGGGTAAAACAACGCAGATTGAGAAGATTATCCAAAATAGAATACTTTAACGGCGACATGTCAATAAATAGACCTTTAAAAGTAATAGACAGTAGAAGAAAAGAGTAATAACAGCAGTAGCAGCGAAACAAAGAAAGATCAGTGATTCATTCATAGACTTGCATCTTATCTGTCGACGCGTATCTTATCCTTCCACGCTGGTCGCTTCTTCGCATCTTCGCCTCGCGCGATCGCTGCAATCCAGACGCGCTCTCGCAAGTTACGCTATGGGCGGAGTCAAGTCAATCAATATGCACGCACATCATTTGATAGAATCGCTCGGTCGCATCATCGCATCTTCGCATCTTCGCAAGTTCTCAAAGTATGAACAGGCCCCTACCGCTCCACAATCGTAGATGATGATTAATAGCCTAATCGCCTACTCGCCTAATCGCCTACTCGCCTACTCGCCTAATCGCCTACTCGCCTACAACGCCCTCAGGGCGGAGCATACAAGTCGATACGTATGTAGTCTTCACCGCCTAATCGCCTACTCGCCTGATCGCCTGATCGCCTACTCGCCTACTCGCCTACTCGCCTAATCTATACGTATATTTTTCATGTAGACTGATCGCCTAATCGCCTAACTATGAACACTCCATAAGATCTAGAGGGTCTAGATCTCTCTAAGGTCGTATGTAGTACGACGCGCGAGAACCATATGCTATCAAATAAGACAAGAGAGGCCGTAGGTTCATCAGTTTGGACGCGAAACTCGAGAAAGGCCGCGTTCAATAGTTCGCGCGACTGCTGAGATTAGGGACAGTAACGCGAATCAATGAATAAACATCTCGTATTAGACGGCGAGTGTCAGGATAGTAGTCAGACTTAGGATAGTAGTAGATAAGGAGATGCGCTGACAAGATTAGATATGTATTGATCTATTCGCTTGAAGTCGCCCAATCTACTACTCTCCAGCGATTTCAATCGATACGTATCCAATCTTGTCAGCGCAATCTCCTACTCTACTACTATCCTAATATCCTGTCGCCTACTATCCTAATCTCCCCGAGTCGCGAAACTATGAACGCGGCCGAACACGCGAGAGAGCACGCCCTTCGAGAGAGCGCGCTGATCTCCACATCGATGCGGTGGAAAGCGTTGTAATAAGGGTTGATGGTTGCAACCCTCAACGAATAGCGCTCAAAGCGTGCATTTTGTGCGACGGGCGTGGCAATGTCTCTGTAGGAAAGACGCTTATAAACCTCCCCCGGCGGTACCCCCCCTCGCTTCTACTACCGGGAGGCTAATGCGGGGCTTGGCTTCATTTGCCCGGTGAAGAAAAAAGCTCTGAGCGCATGGGTGTCTCGTTGAACTGGCATCCAGGCATGGAGGAGTACTGCTGATACGAGGCACTGAAGGGGACACTCAAAAGCGAATGAGCCACTTTAATATGAATAAGCATGTTGAACTAAGCTACGGTAGATGGAACACCAGACCTTCGGATGAATGTGAGCAATAGGATGTATCGCTGGCCAGACGTATCACCCCTCTTCTTTGCTAAAAACTAGCTTCAGACGAGCTACCCGGTCGGCCCTTCTTGCGTGTTTGTTTCGAATCTCTTCTCCTCTCAAGGAAATCGAGCACCCAAAAATTCAGTTTATTGCATTTCATCGAGTCATATCCACTATGAAAAACATGCTTGCGTGAGCATCAAACAATTTTTGCTGTAAATCGTATGTTGCTCACCCATCTCGAAGGAACGCGCATTTATGGTACCGCAGTTCACTTAATAAAATGGAACACAGACCAATGAGAAAAAGGCTGAGGCACAATCCGTAGATAAGAATATGGCTGCTCGAAGTAATATTATTATGGCCTGTCAACGTTTCGGAGGCTTGCGTGTTGGTTGACAGCTGTAATCCCACAGTTACTGAATTATTTATGTGGTCTATTAAAGTCTCACAGAATGAAGCCATTGGACCACATAAAGTGGCCATTTTTCATGAGAAGATATGTATAAGCTTCACGAAGTGGTGCTCATGTCCTAAAGAGGGGCATTCCCAGAACAAGGCGGCATTCAAAAACCGCTTGGTACCGCGCAATAGGTCGGCAAGAGGGAGGAGCGTCAGGAAGACTGCAATGTTCTCTACTAGAACATCTGTCTACTGCCAAAAGGCTTGGTCCTGAGTTCTGTAAATGGCCTCATTAGAGCGTGCAATTCCCACCTAACCGCCATGAGCGTCTGAATGTTATTCGAGTCTCTAGCCGCTGATATGAAGCCGTGTTTCGGAGCTGAAAAAGCGATAGTTTGAAAATACTACAGCGCAAAAGGGCAGCGATAAGCGTGTCCGGCCCAATAAGCCGAGTGGTCGCTCGTTAGTACTGGCGTATGCTCACCGCTTTATTATTGGTAAGTAGGTAAGGGGCCTATCACCTGAGCGCTTTATATTCACGAGGTCTTCCCCTTCTCATCTTACTGCTCGCCAATTATCGCAACCAGCACATTCGTATGTGGAAGAACCCACAGCACGTTTATCCTGGTCCTGCCATGAACAGTCCTGAATAGAGAGTTGATTGTGAGATATGATGGAGAAAAGACAGTACCTAGTTATGTAGTTGAAGCGAATATGATGGATAAGGGATTAACCACAATGTATTAGGTTGAGCAGAAATTATGCGCTGGTTTTTTTTTCAGGCCTCATGACTCTTTGAACTTTTTTGCAATGACCTATTTTCAAAAGATGGCTGAAGTATCTGGACAGTGCGGCACTCTTTATACATCTTTGATGAAATGAATACCTTATGTATTTTGCATGGAGGCCGGTTTGCAGAGAGGACTGTCGACGCCCGCCGTTTTAATGATTACGCATTCACTATCGTTTTTGTGTTGGCTTTTTTAAAGGCAAAGGTCGGGCTCAGCACGCTAGAGAAGTAATTCCCGTGCCTGGAGGTTGTATGTGGGTAGCTGCACACATTGCAGCAACTTCCCACCTTGAAAAACCCCGTTAAGGCCCCGGGGCGTTCGGTTTCAATCCAGGGCCGCCTGGTCAATCCAGGACCGCCCACCTCCGGAAGTGGTGCGTGGCTGGCATAACGTGTGAAATCAGCTAGGTTGATTGCCGTATCAACCGATAGAACGACTGACATCTCCAGAAAACTTGTTTGGTTGTACGTGCTCTTTCCGTGCCTTTCCCCAAGCCAGCCTCCTTCACTGCTAGTGGGAAAGAGGGTTTTGTTAACGGCCTTGTCGACGGTTTTTCTCAGTTTTTTCTCCACTGTCGTTCCACTTTCGCATCTCTATACTCAGTTTCAATCGCCATAATACCCCCTTATTGAGCCCGACTTTTGCCTTCAATAAACTTAGAAGTGATACGAAGACGGTGGATAAGTTTCGCTCACTAATATTCGCTGATCAAGCCCTTGAAAGTGCAGCACACTGATACATTCAGCTTGTTTCGCAATAGCGTTTGGTCATTTTAGCCATAAACCAAGATGTCTTATAACCATTTCAACACCTACGTGGTTACACAAAATACATTCGTGGTTTATTATCCACTTCTAACATCGAATACCAGTCAACCATTTAGCACCAGACTCTCGGAGTCACAATACAGACACATAGATCCTTCGACCTGGCTGGAAGAGGTTTCGAACCCTGAATCCTACACCGCCTAGCACCTTTCACAAGCCCAATAGGCACCGTTGCGTCGAGCATCTTACTGCTGTGCGGTCCACATCTAATACTTCCTATCACGTATCCAAGTAATTACTAAATAGCTCAGAGTCGATTCCACAAGAGTGCGTGGTCTAGTTCGAGGCATTCTTCAGTATGTATCGCATTTTCTTTGTTGCCGGTGTAACGCCGGCGATATTTTCTTATGAAAAGAGGAACAGATTGAGTGTGGAAAGAGAAATTAGTCCATCAGAAGGGGAAAGGGAAACGGAAATAGGCCGCAGTTACACTCTGACGACAGCCTGACGGGTGTGCTCGTCAGGCTGTCGTCAGAGTGTTAACTGCGATTTCATTTGCCTTCTCTGCATTACACTGGTTTATTTCCCACCCAATTGGGACCCTAGATACCCTTATGGAAGAAGCACTAGTTACCCTACAACTGGAGCTCATCAAATTCTTTAAGGTCATTTTCAGCGGTTTTATGAATGAGGATTAGTGAAGAGCTTCGCCTATACGAGGAAATATTTTCACTTAGAAGCCTTGAGGTGGAGTTCACTGCAATCTCCTTTTCCATTTTGGCAACAAAATAATTTATACCAAAACACTAACAATCAAAGTAACAGCGAGAAAATCAATGTACAGATATGAGATCCATGAGAGTAGTCGTCCTCGGTTTTTATAGTACATGGACTGTTCATCGGTGATTTTTTCAAGACGATTTATCCATCGAGATCCGAAGTCAAGCGGGTCGATCACATGGTCAAGGAATTGCTGATTGAGCTGGAATTCCATTTATTTCGAATATGTCTGCTGGAAGAGAAATTTCAATAACTTCCAAAATGGCATCCTTCTGGAAAATTGGCTTCTTTCTTGAAGTCATCCTACATTCCCTATTTTTCATCCTGCATTTTAATCTTTCTCTGTTTGCCCTTCGTATTTATAAATCAACTTTTTTGAAATGGCACTCTGACTTGACACTCTCGCCCACTTTTGTTTTCTCTTAACCTCTTTTTCCTATCTTCTTTAAAACCGTTTCTTGCTGCATTACCCTCACATTTACCATTTATACATAATAGATATACAACCTTCTCCACTTTCCTTTTCTGCTCCCTTTCTCCACTATTGTACTAAGTGCCCGCACTTCTGTCCTGTTGTCTGTTGACCACCCTTGCTCCTTTATTCATTCTGAATCTATTAGGTCGTGAAGAAAGTTCTTGCGTTTCGGCGTTTCGTTTTTGAATGCTTTATATCATTGTTATGTTTCGTACAGGCCGCGCAATCGGAGCCTGTATGTGTTTTTAAGACGCTTTTCGCTCGATTTTAATCTAAACAGCTAGCTATGTTTTCTTATCAATATTAAGTTGTCATTTTCGATAGGCCTAGAATATGGCATACTCCAAATTGCATGATATCCTTTCTAGCTTAAAAAGCAGACCAAGTCATGGAGCAGAGAGACGACAGGATCCAAAAGAAACCTATCGACGCAGCTTGCTAGGAGATTCGCAAAGATGGAGAAAAAAAACAATAGAAAAAAAAATAATTGGGCGGCGTTTCCCCCCACCTGAAGCAATTGTTCAAAAAAGCTTTTGTAAGAATAGCGAGAGCCCTAAAGATTGTGAGGGTGGTGATCGGAGATTGGACGACGCCAACGATTAGTCGAGCGTTCTGGTTGAAGCACGTTTGCACAAATCTATTGAGAGGGTTCCTCCTAAACTAATCGCACTTGCATTGTGTTTTCTTGTTGTACGGGAAGAGCTGGAAAGTCACAAAAACTCAAATAGGGCGTGCCGCGACAGCTCACCATTTTGAAGGGTCGTTCGCCGCGTTCTAGCTTGTTTCATGCCATGAAAACGACCTGACTTTTTGATCATTTGCGACGCACGACAAAGAACGGATTCTTTGCTACAGAATACGAACCTTTGGTGAAGTGATCGACCGCGATCAGGCTCTACAAACTTTGCAAAAGTGAAACTTCACTGAAGGAAGGTTGAGGTGACTTTCATAAGGTCAGCGGCTGGTCTAGCTTTTCGTAACCAGGTGGATCTGTTAATGTGGAAAAGTACTCCTGATAAAACTCTGACAAACATATGCTTCCTAGAACTCTGGCACATATGCTCGAAATTCCTCATTATAAAGGAACCGGCTCGTCCCTGACAGGTAGCTCGGACGCACATTCCACAACCAACCCTGCAGAAGTTCGACAAGATTGGCTACGAATTAGTCCTGCGAACATCCTACTCGGTAGACCTTTTGCCTATAATTTGTCACTTTCTCGACTACCTGGATAGCTTCTCCAAAGAGTTATGCTTCAAAAACCAACATGATGCGGAAACGACCTCCGCCGGGTTCATCGTCTCTAGAGCTCCAGTATTCTGCACTACCGGGCTGATTCAACGCAGCTATTATTGGCAGAGGTTTGTGGATTCTAACAGTCTTTACTCCAATCAAAAAGGTTTCGAATGAGCCGAGATACAGGCATTTGAAAATCAAGGTCCAAAAGCGCAAGAACTTTCTTCACGACCTAATAAATAAAGTAGATCTGTGGCACCCCTTCACCTCTCTCTTTTTGGCATTATGTTCCCTCTCTAGGCATTCACGAAAGCTGCCTTTTCACACTTATCAAACTCATCTCAAGTATCTCATCGATTTTAGGCACAAAAAGGTCATGTAAATGGTACCTTCCGAACTTGCGTTGCAAACGTGGTGTTCGTAAGCACTTGAGTTATCTTCGAACGCAGCTCGTCTCTCGTAATGTTCTGAATTTATTAATTTCAATACGTTGGCAAGCATATTACATGGCTTCATGTTATTTCACAAGAAGCAAAATACTCTTTCGCGATCGGACCCCATATGGGCCGTTTTGGAACATAAAAATGTTCGTTGTGGTTCCAGAAAAATTTGTTCATTGACGGATTGATTGTAAATTTCATTGAAGGATTAACCAATGTCAATAAAGAAATACGAAAAGGTGAATGCACACCTAACGGCGGTCGTCAATGGCTTGAAACGTGTTTTACCCCACGTTATTGCAAAAAAAAACCTGTACCTTTTTGTTCAGAATCGTGCTCAGCGTCTGATAAATGGTACTACATAGAGAACAATAACAAGAACATAGCAGATTCACATGTCTATGATTAAATGGAGTAATCTCGTAGATGATACTAATTTCAACTTCGATGAAGGATCCAAAAAAGTTGGCTATTTCTATGAGCTGAAAACACTCGAATGCTTCAACGATTCAGATTGAAATTGAACTCATCCTTGTAGCAGCATGATATAGCATTTTTCAAAGAAGTTGATAATTTCATATTTCTTAGTTCCTAATAACTTTCTCATTTTTAAAAGTTTCTAAATATCTCCAACTCCCTGCAAATTGTAGAGGAACAGGAAGACTAACCTTTTTGTAGATCACTTCAGCAATGCCAAGATGCCGAGCGAAAAGTGCGTTTCGCGGTTGATCTGCGAAGAAAGGCAGAAAAAGCATTGGTGTGCTCGAGCAAATACCTTCTTTAATACTGAAAAATAGGAATTCATGCAACCCGTTGTATATTTTGCTCAAGAGTGAGAACGCGAGATAGTACGTCATACGTGAGAGACGCAGAGACCACGTATGCCGTGGTGGATTACGCTGGCAGCGCGGGCAGCGCGGCGGGCAAGGCCTTAGCGCCATTGCCGCGCACTTTTGGGTCGCGATAGTGTCGCGCCCTCAGTGCTTGGGGAGCCCACTATCGCACCCTGGGAAGAACTTCTGCTGGTTGCCTAATCCTGACTCGTGGCTTTAAACACATCATTTTAGCTCCGCACTTCACTGCGCTTATCAACCGTAAGTTTCAGCTAAAATGGGCCGCCTATGTCACGGACAGCCAACGCATTTAAGAAGAAGAAGAGATATTGTTTACCTACTCCTTCTCATTCTCGTCGTAAAGCCTTTCGAGGATGAGGGTGCATCTAGGTCAACTTTGAATGAAGTGAAGAAATTTGAAGGTCAAGTCAAGTTTGAATGAAGTGAAGAAATTTGAATGAAGTTTTTTTGAATTCTCAATAGATTCCATATTTGGTCTTCTTGGAACCTGGGCTGCTATGCCATATAGGTTGTTATTGAATAGTTTTCGTCGGTCGACGTTTCAAACAATTCGTCGTCTTCAGGACCTTACTGCTCTCCACCAGCTCCACGCAGCCACTCAATTTTGGTAGATTTTTTCAATGTCTACCGAATTTGGATGGAGTAGCAGTAAGGTCCTGATGACGACGGATTGTCGAATGAATCTATTCGACCGTAGTAACCTCTATTGACATATCAAACGACAGCACGGAAATACCGAGTTAAATAACCTTCTAGTACCCATCCACAAAGTTCGGCCGGATCAAGCTGATTCCTATGCACATGTAATGGTTTACCTTCCGTGTTGCAATGATCTTGAAAAAAAATACATACAAAATTTTTGAGACCATCGATGCTACCTGATGCGTGCTCGTCTTTAAAAGCCTGGCTCTGGAGGCAGGAAGTGCATAATTGCATATAGTCACGGAATGCAAAGCCGACAAAATTCACTTTTAATCGCCATGAGTGACAGAATAAGCATCGTTTTGTTGTGGGCGAGGATGTCATTTTGCGGTGCCCATCGAAGGATCATCACATGCGGCTTCACATCTTTCACCTGAATTTCAAATTAAAAGAGGAATTCGCGATAAGAATGAAGGTCAAAGAAGAGGAAATTGCATGGTTGGGAGACAGGCGGACCTCCTGAGGTGCTGACACCACCACTTGGCAGCGAAAAATTTAACCTCGGCAATCTAGCATGGCCTTCCTCTTGGCGCGGTTGGCCGGAACGCCCACCGACTATCTAATCACTCGCCGCAGGTCTATACGTGGCGAGTGATTAGATAGCAGAGAGAGCGTAGTGTTGAAGAGGGCACAGCGATGAGAGTCGCATCAATGCGGAAATCAACGGGCAAGGAAGGGCAGGGTCAACCCTATCGTTGTTACTATTCGAAAAATTTTTACGACCCCCCTCCCCCAAGGTGGATTTGGTACGACCCCCCTTCCGACACCTCGATCACCATATTCCTCTCTATAACACTAACTTCCACTACCACTCAACCCTCAAAACTCCGCCCACTTTTTCCTCCAAAAATGCCGTCGAGCGGGGGGGTATATAGTCCCTCTGAAACAGTAAAAATTTTCCCATAATTTCCCACAATTCCCTAAATTTTCCACCAATTTGCCCAATTTCTCCCTATAATCTCACTGTTTCCTTTTCTAGGGGGGGTATATACGCCGGCTGAAACGGCAAATTTTTATCTTGCGCGCCCTCTACTCGCACAACCTACTACCCACGAAATCTTAGTTTCTCCTCAATCCCACACGTGATTTCGAGCGACTAAAGTGGGTACGACCCCCCCTCCTACAAACTCAACCAGGTACGACCCCCCGTTGTTACTCGTAACAACGTAGGGTTGACCTGGGAAGGGGTCCTGTCGTGGTTCGGGAGCGGTTGCCCTCCTAACCCTCCAACACGACGCATCGAGGTGGTTCGGGGCCCTCGTGGCCTTTCCCAGGCACACGTCATCCTACGGGTCCTTCCCGGGGACCCGCTGGTTTCCCTCCCAGCATGGCCTCCGCTCCCCGGGGCATCACGGGTTCCTAACCCAGGGAAGGGGGGTTTAAGGGTCGCGGTAAGCGGTAACCCGCGGGGGCAAGGCCCACCGACGGCCCGGGCTTTCCCAGCCCAAGGGCCGAGGGCTCCCTTGCCCCGGCTAGCAACCCCACAACATAACAGCACAAGAAAAGCCTACTGCGCCTTAGTCGGGCCCCAGCCCTGGCGCTCCCCAAACTACAACCCTACTACAACAACTACATTATACATACATTTATTGGCGGATATTGGCGGCAACAAGTTGACGACCTATTCTTCTCATCCTCTGCCGGGCTTGGAGGTACCAAGCCATCGCGTCGTCCATCCATCGGGTCGTCGGCGGTAAGTGGCGCACTGCTGGCGCCTGCAGCCGGCAGCGTCCATCCGGTGTAGCGGACGCTGGCTTGCCAGCGCTCCGACAGGACGGGACAGTATGCCGGACCATACTGCCGAGTGCCAGTGGCACTCCGAGCCGTCCAGCTTCCTAGCGTTGCCCGGCACAACGCTCCTCCCGGAGGGAGCGAAGTGCGCCGACTGGCAGAGGCGGCTCGCTTAAGTAGTCCCGGCTGGAGGCGGGACCGGAGGCGGAGCATGCCCCTATAGTCGGTGCATGCAACGCCACGGCGCCTGCTGCACAGCAGTGCCCAAGCGCGCGGTGCGCCCGGGACCACAGTCGCGAACCGCGACAGGTCCCATTTCTCGGGTTTCGGGCCGTTTCAAATGGTTTCTTCTTCATCCCTGCTCCACTGACCACCTCTACCCTTATTTCCAATGAGCTAACTTTTCATCGTAAATTCTGCCTTTAAAGTGTGTGCTAAATTTGAGAAATTGCAGAATAAATTTCGATGGTGTCGAACTTTCTCTGGTACTCTCTTTGCAGGAAATAACGCTGATGTTCAATTGGTCCCAGATGTCTGCGAGGACTAAAGCATTCACTTATGCTATTTTTGTTTGTTAACTGCTGTTTTTGCCGCAGTTCGCCTTGCGAATGTTTCACAAGAATGCTGGGTTGTGAACAAAACTTTCGCCCCAGGCGGGACTAGAACCCGCACCTCTCGCTTTCCGGGCAAGTGCGCTACCAGTTACGCTACCGGGGCACCATTTACACGTTATACGTGTGAGTGCTGACAAGCTATGGTACGTATACCATGAGCTGAGTTGGAATGAAATGGTGCCCCGGTAGCGTAACTGGTAGCGCACTTGCCCGGAAAGCGAGAGGTGCGGGTTCTAGTCCCGCCTGGGGCGAAAGTTTTGTTCACAACCCAGCATTCTTGTAAAACACTCATTTGTACCTCAATAAAAATCCATTTTTTTGTTGTGGAAGCTAAACTGCATGTATGCTAAGGCTGCGAATGCGAGAAGGGCTGGGCATTTTAGACGGAAATTGACCAGCAGCGGATGTTCTTTCTTGATTTCTTTGAGATCGTCACATACACGGCTATTACTTCCACATACATAACCATTACCAGAAATCCAATAGGAGATTTGAATTACTCATAATAATGTAATTTTAATGGCAAGCAGGTACAGCATAACAAACCTCTGGTCCTGCGTAGCTGAATATAATTCTGTAGTCAGTGAATAAGTTCAGCACATCGAAGAACGTGGATATAATCTGGAATATGTGCTCTCAATGACCTAACGTTCTTTTCTATTCCTAGCGATGGCCTAAGTGGTTTAAGGGCATTTGTAGTGGCGACTACAAAGCGGA